GATGAAGAATACTGTTTGTCGAGAGTTTCATCCATGCCTCAGAGAATTCAAGCTGTTATAAAAGCTAAAAGGTGCTGCAACAAAGTACTAGTGGTGTACTGGAGTGGGGTTTTTTCATGATTCCTTATTTTCCTCAGAATTGAGTGATTCCATATTTATTTCCTCTGCTTGATCTGCAAAAACAGTTGCAACTGACTAGTTTTCTTTTTTAATTTTTTTAAGTCTTTCCTAACCGCTTGCACGCCACCCTATAGCAGAAATACTGCTACAGGGTGGCATGGGTGCGCAAAATACATGTGATTTTGCAGTTCCAGGTAGGGGATGTGCTTCAGATATCAATCACTGGGTCCCGGTCGGTGATTCCCCACCAGCACCCGGTGATCTCCGAGTATTACCGATGGGGAAGAGACCTATGTATAAACAAACAACACAGATCTCTCCTGTCAGCTCCTGCACACTGCTTTGTATGGCATAGCAGAGCCATACAAAGAAGTGTGCTTACAGTGTAAAGCACACGCACAGCATACTGTGAAACAGCACACAGGTAACCCTTTGATCCCCCCACGTTAACCCCTTCCTGCCCAGTACCGTTAGTACAGTGTCAGTGCTTTGTATTAGCACTGATCACTGTATTGGTGTCACTGGGGATGTCAGTGACACCAAGTCAGTTCCCCCCAGTGTCAGAATGCCCACCACAGTCCCGCCGTAAGTAGCTGATCACCACCATTACTAGTATAAAAAAAAAAGAAAGAAGATCCCAGTATATACAGTATACCGTCATTTGTAAACGCTATAACTTTCACGTAAATCAATTAATTACATGTATTGAGATTTTTTTTTTTTGCAAAGACATGTAACAGAATACATTTTGGCCTATATTTATGACGAAATTTCATTTTTCTAATTTTTTATTGGACACTTTTAATAGAAAAAAGTCAAAAATATTGTTTTTTTTTTTTCAAAATAGTCGGTCTTTTTTTGTTTAACGCAAAAAATAAAAATGCACAGGCGGTCAAATACCACCAAACGAAAGCTCTATTTGTGGGGAAAAAAAAAAGGATGTAAATTTCATTTGGGCACAGCGTTGCATGACTGCGCAATAGTCAGTTAAAGTAATGCAGCGCCGTAGTGCAAAAAAAATGGCCTGTCAGGGAGGGGAGGTAAATCCTCTGGAGGGCAAGTGGTTAAAGCCAGAAGGTTGGAATGTTAAATGACAATAGTTTTGAAGAATGTCTGGGATTAGTTTTTATTCTACACAATTAACTACTTGTCTCATATGACGTCCTCCCAGAACGCGCTCTCCTGCGCGCCCCCGGGGGCGCGCCCTGGGCGATCTCCGTGATCGCTGTGTCCTACGGACACAGCTGATCACGTGACGTGGTAAAAGGCCAATCACAGCGGCCTTTTACCACGTGATCAACCATGTCCAATGACACGCTGATCACCGGGAAATGCAAATGCCGGTTCTCGGCTGCACTTTCCTCACGCTGTCAGATCGTGAGGAAAGTACTGCCGAAAACCGGCAGTTGTCAGAGCGGGGATCGGCACTGATCATCAGTGCCCTGATGATTGGTGCCCAGCAGTGCCACACACAAGTTCCACCCACCTGTGCCCAGCAGTGCGCCCACCTGTGCCACCCAGCAGTGCGCCCACCTCTGCCACCCAGCAGTGTCACCACCTGTGCCCAGAAGTGCCACCTACCTGTGCCCAGAAGTGCCACCCACCTGTGCCCACCAGTGCCACCCACCAGTGCAGCCCAGCAGTGCTGCCAGTCAGTGCCCAGTGGTTGTGCCAGTCAGTGCCCAGCAGTGCCGCCAGTCAGTGCCCAGCATTGATGTCAGTCAGTGCCACCTATCAGTGCTGTCTATCAGTACCCATTATCAGTGTCGCCTATCAGTGCCACCAATCAGTGCCGCATATCAGTGCCACCTATCTGTGACACCTCATTAGTGCCGCCTATCAGTGCCACCCATCAGTGCCGCCTATCAGTGCCACCTATCTGTGACACCTCATTAGTGCCGCCTATCAGTGCCACCTATCAGTGCCCATCAGTGCTGCCTCATCAACGCACATCAGTGAAGGAGAAAAATTACCTGTTTGAAAAATTTTATAATAGAAACAATGAAACTTTATTTTTCAAATTTCTTTGCACTTTTTTGCTTATAGCACAAAAAGTAAAGTGCCCAGCAGCGATTAAATACCACCAAAAGAAAGCTCTATTTGTGAGAAAAAAATTATAAAAATTTCATATGGGTACAATCTTGCATGACGGCGCAATTGTCAATCAAAGTGCAACAGTGCTGAAAGCTGAAAATTGGAAGGTAAATAAGGGGGTATAAGTGCCCGGTAGGCAAGTGGTTAAACAATTGAATGAACATTTTCCAGGAGTGGTGATTCCATACTTTTTGCCAGGGTTGTAGGTTGGGGCAGTTGCTGTTTGATTATACTAAACGACAAAAAAACAAAAATAGAAATGAAAAAAAAAATCTTAAATAAACACACGGTCGCCTCAAAACATGTGCACAGAGGATGATAAATATTTTCCGATTCATTTTATGACACTTCAAGTGGAGGTATAGTCCTTTAACTGTGTATGCGAACGATCAGCTTCAAGTAGATATAAAATACAGAAATCAATGTTGATCTGTATTCACCAACTCACATCTATGCGTGTTGGGAATGAGCGCAAAATCACGCGGCTTTCCCAACACCCACAGAAATGTGCTGCCCTTTAGCAGACTGACGTTTGGTGCTTTTTGGAAAAAAAGTCAGGGACTTCTTTTCCACGTTTCTCACGTGTAGGGCAGTGTATTGCATTGAATGGTCTGCTCTACAAGCGATGTGCGCAAATGTGAACCAAGCCTAAAAGATCATTAAATTAATTTATTTAAATGCAAGCAGTGTATCGATCTGAATTTGGCTTGATATCAGACTGGGAGAGGAAAGGAAGAACACAATGAGGCAGCACAGTGGCTAAATGGTTAGCATTTCTGCCTGGCAGTACTAGAGTCATTGGTTTGAATCCCAACCATGGCACCACCTGCCTGGAGTTTGCATGTTTTCCCTGTGCCTGCGTGGGTTTCCTCAGGGTACTCCAGTTTCCTCCCACACTCCAAAGACATGCTGGTAGGTTAATGGAATCCTGTCTAAATTGGCCCTAGTACAGGGGCAGACTGACCATTTGGAAACTCGGGCACTGCCCGAGGGCCCGGGGTCAGTAGGGGGCCCCATGAGATGCCCCTGGTACCTTTTTCCATAGGCTTTTTTGAGTTTGGGCAAGGACACAGGGGCCCCATGATCCCCTATTGCCCAGGGGCCCCATGAGTTGTCAGTCCGCCCCTGCCCTAGTATGTGTATGTATGAATGTGAGTTGGGGAACTTAGATTGTACGCCCCTTGAGCGTTAGGGACTGATGTGACTGTAATATGTGTGTGTGTGTGTAAAGCGATGCATGAATTGACGGCACTATATACGTACCTGAAATAAATAAAATAAAATGAGCCGTCAGTTATATTGAGATACTTGTGTACTAACAAGGGGTATACTGATAGAAGGAGAGAGCAGAGTGACAGAGAAATGAGATTCCACTCACAGGCTGGGGGAGGGACAAGACCTGTACATGCTTGTAAACCACAGCAGAGAAAAATGAGGCCTTCTCTCCTGCCAGACAGGACTGAGTTGTGTGGTAGGGCTGTGTAAATCTCAAAACTGGATGGGCAGAAATACAACTCCTTTGGCAGGAAAAACAAAACCCTTATTCCTGCAACGTGTTTGGCTGTTTTAAAGGATAAGTTCACCTTTTCGGGTAGAATTTCACTTTTCATAATGAATAGAAACGTTTTTCAGATCGCAAAATTTCTCGCAGATGGTCTCTCAGCATTCACTTCCTGTAGGCCATCTCCCAGAAGCCTTCACAGAAGAGGGTGTGTTCACCACTCTGGCCACACCTCCCTGATAGCAATACTACCTTCCTCTCCTCCGCACCATCCCAACATGTAGTACAAGGGCCTGTCTGGTTTGATACAGATTGAATAGATAGATTGTTCAGGTGCGTCCTCCTATTCCATAGTTCTGGTAAAGCTAAAGAAAATTGTACAACGATTGTACCATCAAATTGCATAGTGTATGGCCATCTTTACACAAGTACATAGCAGGGAGTGGATGGAGACACCACCATACCGCGCAATTCTCGTTCAAAGTGCGACAGAGCTGAAAGCTAAAAACTGGCCTGGGCAGGAAGGGGGTATAAGTGCCCGGTCAGGCCCTGTTCACATCTCCACGTAGTGAAGACTCACATTCCCACATGCATTTGTTTTGGAGCGTATTCACTTGTCACGCAAAGGGCAGCCCATTCACTTGAACGGTCTGCCATACTCACTAACATTGCCCCAGAAAAGCTCCACAACGTTTTTTTGGGTGGAGCATGGTGGGGTTCTCATGTTTTTGGTGTGTTGCTAAAGCCTGGCACATGCGTTCTGAAGGAACGGCACGGATATGCTGTGTGCCACGGCCCAGGACACATGTGCACGGGAGTGACATCATCATGGCCCAACCCGGCTTATCAGACGGCCGGAGATCGCGAACCTGGAAGAAGGGCCAGGTGAAGATGGAGGCCTTTTTAACCACTCACCTACCGGGCACTTATACCCCCTTTCTGCCCAGGCCAGTTTTTAGCTTTCAGCGCTGTTGCACTTTGAATGAGAATTGCGCGGTAATGCAACACTGCACCCATATGAAATTTTTATAATTTTTTTGTGACAGATAGAGCTTTCTTTTGGTGGTATTTAATCAACTCTGGGTTTTTTTAATTTTTGCTAAACAAACCAAAAACAACTGCAAATTTAGAAAAAAAATGTTTTTTCTTAGTTTTTGTTATAAAATTTTGTAAATAAGTGATTTTTCTCCTTCACTGATGTGTGCTAATGAGGCTGCAGTGATGGGCACTGATAGGCTGCACTGATGGGCAATGACAGGCATCACTGATGGGCACTGAAAGGCAGCACTCATATATGGCACTGATAGGCCATATATGAGCTTCACTGACAGGAGGCACTGATAGACGGCACTGACAGGTGGCACTGATGGGTGGCACTGAAAGGCAGCTCAGATGGGCACTGATATGTGGCATTGATGTGCACTGGTAGGCACTGATATGTGGCATTGATGAACACTGGCAGGTGGCACTGATGAGCACTGACAGCTGGCACTGCTGGGGCTATACTGATCATCAGGGCACACTGATCATCAGTGCCCTGATGATCAGTGTAGATGTCCCCTCCGCGGAATGCCGATTACCGTCTCTCCTCTCCTTTCAAGCTGTCAGTGTGACAGCTCGTGAGGAGAGAAATGCTGATAACTGGCATTTCCCTATTTACATGCGATCAGCTGTGATTGGACACAGCTGATCACATGACCGAGCCGACATCTTCGGGTCTTTCCGTTGATCGGTGATCCGCTGTCTCCAAAGGACACAGCGTACCACCGATCGCCGCGCTGCGTGCTCCTGGAACAGCTCATGCGCAGTTAGAGTGGGAGGACGTCATATGACGTCCTCCCAGGACGAGAGAACCGCCTTGCCCCTTGCACGGGCGGGAGGCGGTTAAAAAGCACAGCGTAGACCATGCACGTGTATGTAAACATCAATTCTTGCTCCACACTACATGACCATTCCCCCAAATCCTCTTCTCTTTTACATTCTGAATTGCAATCATCAAGTACAATGTAGGACCAATAGTCCTGCATTGCACGCAAGAAGGGTGATGGACTGCCCACAACCCGGAGTGTCAATGAGAAGAGAGCGCCAGAGCCTGTTGGACAAGGAATAAGGCAAGTATTACACTTTATACCTCTACCTTTAGATTTAACCCTTGCAGTGTGGGGGGTGTCCCCTGCCTAGTAGATGTTTTTGCCGATGCCGAAGTTCAGCTTTTAGTGAAAATGATAAAAATATGACTAACTGTTTCTGAACATGCTAGCCTTGGAGATGTGGTTAATAAAGTAAAAGCAGAATAGGTGTAGAATAGAAAAAGTCAGTATAGGGGAAGACCTAACACCCTGTGGTCTCTGTGGAAACTGTGTGCCGGCTAAACAATGGTTCAAAATCTGAAACTCACACGCAAGATTCTAATGAGGCAATTAAAATGCCAACAATAATTTCTACAGAACGGAAATCAGCAAAACAAATTAAAAATATTCAGAATGTTATGGGGATTATTTACAAAATGTTCTTTGCCCCTTCCTCCCATTTCATAATTTGGCCAATTTCCAAAAATATGCTCGAAGTGACAAGAAAGGTTAATTTTTTCTTTTGGGAAAATAACAAACATGTTATATTTACCTGCTGTGTGCAGTGGTTTTAGACAAAGCAGCCTAGATTTTCCTCTTCTCGGGTCCCCTGCAGGCTCTCCTGGCTCCTCCTGTTTGTAGGGTGCCCCCATAGCAAGCAGCTTGCTATGGGGGCACCCACTGCCCCGAGTGTCCATTCACACACGGAGCCATGTCTTAGCCCCGCACCCTCTCTCTCCTCATTGGTTGTCTGACTGTGTTTGACAGCAGCGGGAGCCAATGTGAGCAAGCCAGGAGTAGTGAAACGCATCAAAAAAGGCTTGGGTTTTGGGCTGGAGACATCACTGTATGCAGTCAGTTCCCTGATTAGTAAAAATACTGCAAGAAGAGCTAATTGGAGTGCGGCTGATTTTTTTTCTATTTGCAATGAAGACTGAAGAGGGACTGTCAGGAATAGACTCCACACTGGTGGTGCTGTGGCTCACTTGCTCTGTGGGCTGCAGTACCAGCTCCTACCAGAGGGTGCTTTCAGCAGCCAGGGTCTCACTCCTGCAATCAAGCCATCACCTGAGGCTGATTGCAGGAGGTCTATTTAAGCAGGACCAGACCTGCAATCAGTGCCTTGGTATTGTTTCTTATGAGCCCCTGTATCTTGTTACCTGTGCCTCTGTTCTATGAAGTACCCTTTGTTGCCGACCCTGCTTTGATCCTGATCCTGCTGACTGTCTCATGCACTGACCCCTGGCTCTTTACCTGACTACTCTCTGCCTGCTCCTCCTGTACCTACCTGCCCGTTAGTTGCTGAACCTGGCTCGTGACCTGACTACTCCCCGCCTGCTCCTCCTGTACCTAGCTGCCCGATAGTTTTACTGACCCGGCCTGCCTGACTACGCTTGTGTACCGGCACATATTGAGACTAGCTTAAGGTTTGGTTTTGCACTGTGTGTTCTGTGTATTGTGTAACCTTAAATAAATTATATTACTTTTACACCATACTTGAAGCCTGCATTTCCCTGTGTCAGTCCACACATCTCTGGTCATACCTGGATCCCTGACAGGGACTGTGATGGCTGGCACCCAGGTTGTCCATGTGCAAGAGAGGCCAGTGTCGAGAGGAGCTCTGGACCCGCTCTTGGTCACACCTGGAGGTGTGAACCAAGTCTAAGGGTCCCTGTACACAAAACTGATGTATGAACTTCCTGTTAGAAAGTCTCTGCCCAAAAGACAGGAGTAAGGTCCGTATAGGGCTCACATTGTCCTACAGTCTACTGTACTAGGGGGTATGCACACGTATGCCCATAAAGTACTGACCCGTAACACCAATTTGGTTTTTTTTCTCACATCTAAAAAAAAAAGACGCTAATTTACAAATATTTGCACACTTGTGCTTAAAGCAACGGGTTGCATTTCAGACCAATGAAGAAATGGTACACAGATGGCGAAAAAAAAAAATTTGACGGGTTATAACCTTCCCTTACTCCTTCCAAAATGAGAAAAAAATGTGCCTATAGTTCTACTTTAACTCTGACATTTGCAGCGATGCCTCATGTGTGGGGTGCGACCACAGTTTACATCTGTGAGCCGGACCTATGTGTGTGTGTTTTGAATTTTGTGCACGCAAAGGGGAGTGGGCAGGCATGGTTTCACTTTTTTTTTTTTACTATTTTTATTTTATTTACTTTTCTTTCTATTTAACCCTATTGCTATAACAAGGGATGAACAAGCTCCTTGTGATACATTTGGGCAGAGACAGGTACTCTTTATGGAGACACCAGCAGTCTGTTAGGCTCCTGATGTCTCCCCTGCTCTCCAATGTAGCTAATCAAGCTCAGATTGTACTTGATTAGCTGCTTTCCTGGCTGTAGTAGCTGGGGAAGGGCAGCTTCTAAACTGGAAGTGATGAAATCCTCGTTGCTGCCAGCTTCATTCGTCAGAGGAGCAGGGGGGGGGGACACACGGATGTTCCTCTATCGCCTCTGTATGTGTGGTCGACCTGACCGCTTACAATACAAGAGAGCCCAGGAATGACGTCAGGCAGCTTTCAAGCCAATCTTTGGCTAACAAAATTAAACAAGGATCATGGCTGCAATCCAGGTATGAATACTTGCTACCAGGGGCACACTGACAACTCTTGGGGCCCCCGGGCAATAGGGGATCATGGGGCCCCTGTATCCTTGCCCAAACTCAAAAAAGCCTATGAAAAAGGTACCGGGGCATCTCATGGGGCCCCCTACTGACCCAGGGCCCTCAGGCAGTGCCCGAGTTTCCAAATGGTCGGTCTGCCCCTGGTTGCTACCAAGACCATATATATACAGCCTCTGTGCAGCAAGTCGCTAAATTTACCCATAAGCCCCTTTCACACGGGCGGTCCATTTTTTTCATCAGTTCAGACACATTTTTTCCAAGCAAAAACGCATCAGTTTACATCCGTTTTTTCATCCATTCCTTTTTTTAGGGTTTCCTTCCATTCAAAAAAATGAATGTTAACCACTTGCCCTTTTGAGGATTTACCCCCCTTTCCTGACCAGGCCATTTTCTGCATTACGGCGCTGTGTTACTTTTACTGACGATTGCGCGGTCATGTAACGCTGTGCCCAAAAGAAACTTACGTCCTTTTTTTCCCACGAATTGAGCTTTCTTTCAGTGGTATTTGATCGCCTGTGCGGTTTTAATTTTTTGAGCTATAAAAAAAAAAAGACCGACAATTTTGAGAAGAAAAAAATATTTTTTTTTAACTTTTTGCTATTAAACATGTCTAGTAATAAAATTTTAAAAATCAAATTTCGTCAAAATGTATTCGGCTACATCTTTGCTAAAAAAAAATACAAATGGTGGCATATATACTGAGATTTGTTTTTGTACTAGTAATGGCAGCGATCAGCGACTTATAGTGAGACTGCGTCGGACATTCTGACACTGGGGGGCACTGCCTTGGTGTCACTGACATCCCCAGTGACACCAATATAGTGATCAGTGCTAAAAAAAAAAAAAAGCACTGACACTGTACTAATGGCACTGGGCAGGAAGGGGTTAACATGAGGGGTGATCAAAGGGTTAACTGTGTGCAGGGAGTGTTTTACTAGGGGGCGTGTGTTGGTGCTTCACTGTAAGCACACTGATCTAGATGGCTGTACTGTGCACAGCCATCTAAAGCTGTGTGCCCGAGCTGACAGGGAGGAGAATGGTAACTAAACAAAACAGTTCTCCTCCCCGTCGGAGATCCTCAGCAATCACCGGGCGCCGGCGAGTAATGATCGTCCAGGATCCAGTGATTGACAGCCGTGGCCGTGAATGGCGGCGTGGGTAGGGTATGCACACCCCCTCCCTGGAAATGCAAAATCACGTATATTTAGGTGATTTTGCCCACCCATGCCGCCCTGTAGCAGCATTTTTGCTATAGGGCGGTCGGGAAGCAGTTAACGTATACGGACATTAACAGATGATCCTCCGTTTACATCCGCTAGTCCACAGAATTACATGGGTGTGCGTTTTTCATCCGTAAACGGACAGATGAAAACCGGACATACGGAACGCCCGTGTGAAAGAGGCCAACCTATGTAATAGGAGGACACCATCCAATCAAGTTCTATCTATTGACACTGGCCGTTGTATTACATAGCAGTTGGCCGATCTAAAGGAGATTGTACAATCAGATTGTATAGTTTGCTTTAGACATTGTTTTCTATGGGCCCCCTGTACACTGTGCTCTATGGGCCCCCTGTACACTGTGCTCTATGGGCCCCCTGTACACTGTGCTCTATGGGCCCCCTGTACACTGTGCTCTATGGGCCCCCTGTACACTGTTCTCTATGGGCTCCCTGTACACTGTGCTCTATGGGCCCCCTGTACACTGTTCTCTATGGGCCCCCTGTATCAGTGTAGTGCCCCCTATATGATCAGAGGGCAGGAGGTTGCATTACCCACACTGACCTGACACTGCAGATGCCAGCCCGGCCAGTAGAGGGAGCAGTAGAAGCCCGGGCCCCCCAATCATAGCGCTGCCTCTTCTCCCTCCTGGTCACATCTCCGGCTCTGGTCGCATCTCTCCGTCCGCAGTCCCACCATCTGCTGCTCGCCTCGCCCCGCCCAACGCTTCCCCTCTGTTTCCTTC